AACCGCTTTTACTTTAGAAGGGATTTGGAGGAGAAATAACCTATATCTTTTGAACACTTACTACTTTTTTAAAAAAGTTAACTTTTTATTTATTTTTGAGAGACAGAGACAGAACAACAGCAGGAGAGGGGCAGAGAGAAAAAGAGTCACAGAATCCAAAGCAAGCTCCAGGCTCCAAGCTATCAGCACAGAGCCCCACACGGGGCTCTACATGGGGCTCAAACTCACAAATGGTGAGATCATGACCTGACCCCAAGTCAGACACTCAATAGACTGAGCTACCCAGGCACCCTGACTCTAACAATTTTGTCTTCACTGTGTGCTAGGTGCTTTGCACATATTATCTTTTTAATCTCCCCCAAGAAACCTATGAGGAATAGATTATTCTATTACATTGAGACAGAAATTGAGGATGCTTATAATGTAATACAATTTAATTGAAGTCATTCAAAGTAGTAAGTAAAGCAACTTGCAAAATCCTGTTCAGCCAGACTTTACATCTCAGGATTTTTCTAGTATGCTGTGCTTTTTAAAATGTGTAACTGCTTTTCAGGTATCACAAACACACAGAGACATAGCTTAATCTGAATGGTACTATTACTCCAAGAAGACATACTCATAGGAATGATCCACAGTCATCGTCTTCCTACTCTCAGATATACATAAATATATCCAAACTCTTTTAAGTTAATCTTAAAATTGATTCACAGTTTATGCTCTGCACCCAGATGTATAATCAAGATATCCTTGACAAACATACAAACTGAAACAAGGCTTTAGATTTCTATAATCTTGCTATGCTGTAACATAGAGATTTGACATGGCAGAGAATTATATAACTGGACCCTTTGCTCAGGGTCTGCATAACCAATATTAATGATGTCTTCTATAACACATATTGTTGCCCACAACTTGTGGCCAGTGGCCCTTTGGCCACCACTTAATACATCCATGCACTGCTGCACCCGACAGTTGTGTGCCTGTTAAAAATCATACTGGCTGTACAACCTTTACCTCAACTGATAAGATATGAGTGCAAATAAACAACAACAAAAAGTTGTCGCTACTATTCCCCCTAAGAAAACCAAGTAAAAAGTCTTAGATTTGATAAAGGAACGTTTCAAAATAAATGTTCTGAGGAACAAGTAAGGGATAAAGATAGAACAGAACTGTCAAAAGGAAGAAGAATTGCACTGAGATTATTCTCTAAGTAACTTGAAGTGCTCACCCCAGCTAAAAGAAAGCAAAAACAAATTTAAAATTGTATAATTCTCTTCCTTTTGGATATATCTTCTTTTTGAAAGAAATATATGCTTAAGGAAAATCACCTGGTCATGTGTCATAAGATTGACGTACAAATATAATTTGATATACTCTAAATTGTTTTAAGGAAGTATTTATTAAAAAGAATTTATGATTTTCATGACTAGATTTCATGATTGTTGACCAAGTGTTTATTTTAGTTACATAAGATAAGGGGCTTTTTCATGTATTTTAGCACCATTGTAGACTTTCGTTGATTTAGCAATTTAACATTAACTCATTTTGGGCTACATGCTCTGAGTAAACCACACATGAAACATGTAGTTAAATGTTTTTTTTTGTTTTGTTTTGTTTTTTTACTTAAAGCTCTTTGGGTGCAAATCCTTTTGAAAGGAAAATTATTTTTTGATGTCTGTTTATCTTTATCATCTTTCCCAAACCATTCCTTGTGGATTAAAAGTGTCATGAATTGAGTTAAATGTAAGACACAAATACCCTTGTAGGGGTTGTCATTTTTGTAAAAACCTCTGTGAATAAAATTTCTCTCTTCCCATTAGGAACTTGCATAGAAAAATGATGTCACTGGATAAATCCTAAAAATAATCAACATTCTTCAATAATTGGACAGACGGACATCAGGTCATCTGTGAAATGGAAATCAAGGAAATGACAATGGCAAGACCCAATCAAGATCATTAATATTCTGATAATGATGCAATATCTGAGTGACCTATGCCATAATAATGTTTATTGATCAAGAATCTAATCAGTAAGGCCCTTAAATTTCCAATATATAAAATTATACTGTATATGAAAGACATATTCCAAGGAGATAATATATCCTAACAGATGAAATATCTTTGTAATAAGTTTTAACTTATTTTTTCTCTAAATGCAAAATAAATAACAATTCAACTACTTAAACTTTTTCCATTTAATATGCTGCCTATATTTTTAAAACCATCATTCAGCCATTTATTGGCTCTAGTTGTATAACTTCAAGGTGAATGTAATTAGAGATTATTATATTTGCCACTGATAACATCCAATCTCCTATATTCTTAAGTCTCACATATTTCCATATTCTCAATAAGCCAGAACAATGTTCATGTCTATGTCAGGCCTTTATTCTATGAGAAAAACAATGGTCATGTTCACTTTTTCCACAGTTACCCTGACGATATACTTAATAGCAAACCAAACTATTATTGCCATTAGTGAACAAATTTGGAGTTAAGTTTATCCCTATATCAAGGAAACTACCTCCTTTATTTACCTTGTCCAGTTCACTACCTATAAATCACTAGGCAAAAGTGTGACCTATGGGATTAATTTCCCAATCCACGACATGATACACACAGACCTTTAAATTCAGATCCAGTGAACTTTCACAGTCTCAATCTTTTTCTGATCTCGTACTCTCTCTTCTCCATCAAGATGGAACTCACTAACCCTACTGCCTGCATAGGGGACTCTTATCCCTATGCTTCTGTTATTCCCTCTACTTGAAGTGTCCTTTGTCTCTCTATCAAGTTTCTCCCCAAACTTTATATAGTTCATGTATCCTACTTAGTTTTTCTGACTAAACTTTGCAAATTCAGCCCCCTCCCTCTTTCTTCTACTCCTACAATATTCCCTCCAAGCCTTATGTTGTTTTTGTTCATTTATGGGTCTGACTAGCCACTTGCTATGGAGCCAGTTGTATCCTTGTAATTCATGTATTGAATTTTGAAGACCCAATGTGATAGTATTTGGAGATATGGCCTTTGGGAGGTAACTAGGGATAATTATGGTGTCTGTTTGCCTTCCTTTTATCATCTGGTTTTATTTTATTTTTTATTTTTTTAACATTTTATTTATTTTTGAGAGAGGGAGAGACTCTGAGTAAGAGCCAAGGATGAGCAGAGAGAGAGGGAGACAGAATCTATGAAGCAGACTTCAGGCTCTGAACTGTAAGCACAGAGTCTGACACAGGGTTCGAACCCATGAACCATAAGATCATGACCTGAGCCAAAGTCGAATGCTTAACTAACTGAGCTACACAGGTGCCCCATCATCCTGTTTTAATTCATCATGACTATCAGACTTCCACATTCTTATCCTGTATATTCCTACCACTTTCTAGATTTAAACCACAGTAAATTCGTAATTTGCAGTGTTTCCCTTGGTATCATTTGAATTGTTTGCCATCGATAGAGAAATGGATTAAAGAATCATATGTTATATTTGGTTGTAAAGCAATCACCTTACTGATGGAAAATACACTGTTATTGATTTATTCTTCTAAGTTTCTATTTAAATTCCAGTTAGTTAACATAGAGCACAATATTAGTTTCATGTGTACAGTATAGTGATGCAATATTTCCGTACAACACCCAGTGCTAATCACAACTAGTGCACTCCTAAATCCCCATCTCCTATTTAATCCACCCCCACACCAACCTCCCCTTTGGTAACCACCAGATTATTCTCTATAGAGAGTCTGTTTCTTGGTTTGCCTCTCTCCTTCCATTTACTTGTTTCTTTTTCTTTCTTTTTTAGCCATAAATTCCACATATGAGTGAAATCATATGGTATTCGTCTTTCTCTGACTGACTTATTTCATTTAGCATAATATTCTGTAGCCCCATTTGCAACAGCACGGATGGAGCTAGAGAATATTATGCTAAGTGAAAAGAGTCAGTCAGAGATTTAGTCTTTGATTATAACAAAATTTAAAACATGATTACAAATCTAAAAGTTAATCATGAAAATCTGACATATCTTAGAAATCCATAATACCTTATGTAATTTAGATAATTTAATATATTCTTATAAAATCAATAATTACTACATTCATTTTACAGTTGTAGAAATCAAGACTCAAAGACAAATAAATCAGCAATATCAAACAAACATTTATATATATATATACAAATATATATATACATATATACATACATATATACAAATATATAAATATATATACATATATAAAATTAGCACAGCAGGATTCAAATTTCTGAGTCTAATTATATGCCATCTTAATATGGTTCAGTTTCTCCAGTTATCTGTTATAATATATGCCCCCAAATATTTTCTTTTTAAATGACCTAATAATTGTACCATGTTATTATAAGAAAACCACCCCAAATTTGGAAAGATACCTCTTAAATATAAAATATAGAGCCCAGCAAGAGGCTCACAGAAATACAGACAACTGAATTTTAGCAAAGGCAGAAATGCAGTTTATGCAAAGATGATGATTTTTTTTTAATAGATGGTCCAAATAAATACCTGACCAATTTGCCTTAATTTGAGGCAAATCTCTTGGGCCTTTCCAGCTCCAAGGGATCAGCTGAAACTTCTGCATTGCAGTCCAGCTTCTCCTTCTCATTGTTTCTATCATGTCTCTTCAGGAGATATTCCTTAGAGCACTAGTGATTAAACACCTATCACTCAAATCTGCTTCAGAATCTTTTTTTCCCCAGGAATATGATTAACTAAGGAAAAGACCCTAGAAAAATGAGAATTGGTCCTTGAAAATTGTGTTACTTTACAGAAATGTTATAAATAGTAAAACAGTGAAGGATTTGGAAAGAAGGCTATATAAAAGGCTGAAATTAGGAAGAAAGTGATGGTGTATCAGGAATTTGTGATAATCTCCCTCTATGGTCTTTCCTGAACTAATCTCTATACTTTATCTTGCAATATCCAAATAATGCAACATGATTTTGTTTGTATTATTCTTTTTCAACAAAATAACACTTCAACATATTTTTAAAGGCTGAATTAGCAGTGTTGTCTCCTGAGCTAAGATGTTGAATAGGCAGGATAACAGCATAAATGAAAAAAAGGAGTGTCAAGATAGAAAATAATCATACTGCACACTTCTTCACGTGAGTTTATTCATCTTCAACACAATCAATTTACCATCTTGTTTTTCAATGAGTAATAATGAAATATCCCAATCTCTTCTTTTACTCTAAAGCAAATTATCACATTTTTGATGTTAAGTTTTCCCCTGGAAAATTAATAAGAATTTAAAGTACCATATTTCATAAATGTCAGTACATAACTACATATTTTGCCACAAAATAATGTAGAATTTTTGTTCATTTGTTAGCTTTTGCCTCTAACATCCCTCTCTTTTTTAGATCCTTCTATTTTTCTACATAGTGTTTTTTTTTTTCTACATAGTGTTTTAAAACGGACCCTGAGTAAATTTTATACCGGCAAAGTTTTAATTTAGTTTTAATTTTATTTCACTCTCAGACTACTGTTTACCATTTTCCATATAGCTATGAAATCCATTCATTTTTAATTAATTGACACTGACTCACTAAAAACAATTTTTACCTTTGCTTGTACGTTGTATGTAAAATTTACACTAAATATTTTTAAGGTAATTCAAAGCTACAAATTAAATTTACAAAGAAAGTATTGACTGTATATGTGAATATATTTTACTGGATACTTGAGGATAAATTGGGATTTAGATAAAACTGATAAGACTATCACAAAATATTTAACATACAAAAAAGGAATCATATTCCGGCAAATGAGGTCGGCACTTCTCTTTCACAGTCAACTAGCTAGTTTGGTCACAGGACTCCAATCTAACTTCCTGGTAAGCTGGAAGGTTTTCCAAAATCCCAGGAAAGAGAGGAAACCCCAATATGGTGAGCACAAGTAGTTTCTACTACACTGTGTATCAGCTGTGAGATCGTGAGTGTTCATGTCCATGGATTTGTTAACATTCTAGGTTTCTCATCTTAAAATGTAGGATAAGAAAGCTGATCCCCAGCTACACTTGGCCCTTGTACAACATGGGTTTGAACTGCACAGATTCACTTAGATGTGTATTTTTTATGAAAATACAGTACAGTACTGTGAATACATTTTCTCTTCCTTATGATTTCCATAATATTCCCCCATAGTTTATTTTATTTTAAGAATACAGTGTGTAATACAAATATACCAACCATGTATTAATTGATTGTGTTGTCAGTAATGTCTGTCAACAGTAGGCTGTTAGTGGTTAAGGTTCAGAGGATCAAAAGTTATACATAATTTTCAACTGCTCAGGGGTTAGCACTTCTAAGCCCTGCATTCTTCAAAAGTCTGCTGTACTGTGAAGATTAAGTAGGGTAATTTATGAGCCTCACATAATTTCCCTAGTCTAAAATCCAGTAAATATTCAAAAATGCTAGTTCTTTCTTTTTAAAGAAAAGGACTCATAATTATCTTCTCTTGATAATGAGTTATTTCTTTTTTTTAAATTGTTATTGTTTATTTTTGAGAGGCAGACAGACAGAGACAGACAGAGCACGAGCAGGGGAGAGGCAAAGAGAGAGTGGGACACAATCTGAAGCAGGCTCTAGGCTCTTAGCTGTCAGCATAGAGCCCGACATGGGGCTGGAAGCTATGAACCATGAGATCATGACCTGAGCCAAAGTCAGACACTTATACCACTGAGCCACCCAAGTGCCTCATAATGAGTTCTTTCTTTGGGCTATATGTTTAAATACACTTATTGGAAATTTTCAAGTTTCAATTTCACATAGTGCTGTTTTTGCAAATCTTTTAAGTAGGAAGGAAAGATCATTCAGGAAAAAAAGAAAATGTTTTATGAAATATAATGAACCTGTTTAGAAGATGTATGGATAGCATTTTTAACAATTTGGTCATGTTAAATTTATGTGGTAAGTGAATTAAAGACAGGATGGATAAAAAAAGTTTTAAAATATAAAAGTTTGATCCATTGTCTTATAGAATAAATATTTTTAATTTCATTTAGTATTAAGAAATTTTATAAGCCTGAAACATCCTTAATTTAGAACCATGAGTGATATCACTGGTTGTGTAGGCAATTGTGGGAACAAGTAAATTGAATTAAAAATGTATAATCAATACTAAAGTAAATATTACAAAGAAAATCTGTTTATAGTTGTAGAGAAAGTTAAAACTATTTACAAGAACATTTGAAGTGTGCATTCCTACTTTATAAGTTGTGTGGACTTTCTTTATTAATTCTTTTAGAAATTACTTGCTTTTACTCTTGACATCAGGAAATTATTGTGTACGTTTTAATTTAACTGTCTAAAATGATTTTTTCAAAATAGTATTCAGCATAATAAGGTTGCCTGATTAATATACCTTATTTTTTTTATTTCTTTTTTATTTTTGAGAAAGAGATAGAGCATGGGTGGGGGAGGGGGAGAAGAAGAGGGGGACACAAATCTGACTGAAGCAGGCTCCAAGCTCTGAGTTGTTATCACAGAGCCCAACGTGGGGCTTGAATTCACAAACTGCGAGATCACGACCTGAGCTGAAGTCAGATGCTTAACTGACTGAGCCACCCAGGTGCCCCTAATGTCCCTTATTAATTAAAAGTTTATCAGGTTACATTTCTTTTCTCCTATGACCATGCTGAAAAGACAAAAATGTAAAATAATCACCTAAATTGGTGAGACCAAGGTCTCCTGGACAATGATGTCCTTGATTTGGACACAGTAGAATTTGGGCAAAAAACAGTGCGGAGAAGAGAGAGGGGAAGACAAGGGGATTCCTCAGGTTTTCCTTTCTCACCTTCCCTGTTCTTATCCCAATCATCCCCCTCCATGACACTGCACACCTTCTTCTTCAATAATTTTTCTTGGCTCCCCTTTCACTGTAAAATTTCCACACTTTAGTTACAGTATTTGGACAGAATAGACATGTTTACACTTCCTGGTTTGGATATAAGTATTGCAAATTCTCTAATGTTCTCCATTGTTATTAAATAAAATCAACTACTTTCTTGCAGGAACACATATTGAGCTGAGGCAGGGTAAAGAAGAAGCAAAATTCGATAATGAAGGATTGACTTTTCACTGTAGTACTCCATCTTAAGTGATTCAGATTTCTCGTAAGTACTGTGCATATCTTTAACCAGTGTAAGTATTTCCAGTTCTCTGACAACATTTTCACAATGTCTATACTTTTTAATATAAAGTCTGTATCAATTTTTAAAAAAAATGTTCTTTACTGAAATAATACAGTTCCCAACCTAAAACTGGAGATCTGAGTTGCATAACACATAGCAAACAAATTTTAATATGACAGATTTTTCTTTCCCAAAACAAAAAGCCTATTTCTCCTTATCTAAGTTAGGCATAAGCAATTAGCACCATAGATGACATTTTAGCTAATTTTTTGTGGATGTATTTCCATGTTTTATTAACTTTTTCAAGTCACTTTGACTCCTAATTACACCAAATTTTTCTATCCTTAAGATTCACTGACTTGACATGTTTTTTGAAAAACCTATCAGTATTACTAGGTATATATTTTTTTCTTTTTTAGTTGTGTAAGATTTTAAAATTGAATTAGCTTCTCAAAATCTATAATTACTGATGGCAAAACAAAGAAGAAATCAACAGTTATATGATAGAGTGAACACTGTTTTCTTTATAGTGGATATTGGCAGTATTCAGTGAAAGCTTTTAGCTCAATATTATGTTTCAAATCTATGTGTTCTAATTTTCCAGAAAAAAAAATACTCATTAGCATTTAATAAAGAGAGTCCTGGGCTTTCTCCGTGCCTCCAGAAACTGTCAAGGTACTTTGTTTAAATGATGAATAAGGTTATAAAGAAAAAACATAGCCTCTTCATAGTTAGATAATATCAAATTTAAAACAGAGCATTAACCTGGTTGGTCAGTCTCTGTGGAAAAGAATATAACCCTGTCAAATTTTAGTACCATTTTAACACTCATTTCCAAGTGAGAAATACAGGTAACACAGTTAAGGTATGCAACATTTAAATCACATAATGCAGGAACTACATAGAAACAAGGAACATTGGTCAATTTATAGTATCCATTCTTCAACCATATAAAATTTCTGATCATTAAATAGAAACATAAAAGCTTATAGTGTGGATATCAGGCTGAGCCCAACTATGTACCTCCTTTCATACCCAAAGTCACATTAAATGGCAGAATACAAGATCCCATAGACATCGCATAGAGTATATATTGAACTGTATGGTGTTTCTCTCTTTTGTTTTCTGTTGGATCTTTATCACTTCCTGCCTGGTCACTTGGAGAAGTCTCCAATTCGTTCTTGGCCTCATTCCACTTGTGTCTTGGCTCCTAGAGTCACCTATGTGAAAAATTTACCAAACCATGCATTTTCTGTGCTTTATATGTTCCTCTGGCTCTGACCTTTAAGAATCTAGTCTAAGTACTATAATAAAAGGATCTATACTATCAAACAGTCCACATTACCCATATCAATGGATTCCCCCGTTTAGATCGCTTTTTCCCTTGTATTTTATACTTCAAAGACCCTGAATGACTTGCTACTTACTGACTATGGAAGCCAGACAACGGCTTGCATTCTCTATGATTTTATCAAGCTGCTCTTGCCCCTGCTCTGTTATGATATTCTCCTTGCCACATTCATTAGGCTGCTCACCTGATTTTTCCTTTCATATTTAGTTCAAGCGTTAACTAGTTCAAGTGGCTCCTCATGATTTGTGCTTCTCTAACTGGGGTAACTTACCTTTTCTAAATATTTGTTTAAAATATTTTTTTAATGTTTATTTACTTTCGAGAAAGAGAGAAACAGAGCATGAGCAGAGGAGGGGCAAAGAGAGAGGGAGACACAGAATCCAAAGCAGCCTCCAGGCTCTGAGCTGTCAGCACAGAGCCCAACGCAGGGCTTGAACCCATGAACCTCAAGATAATGACCTGAGACAAAATCAGACCCTTAACGTCTATGCTATCCAGGCACCCCTACATATTTTTTAAAAATATTTATTTATTTTGTGTGAGAGAGAGAAAGCAAGCAAGGGAAGGGCAGAAAGAGGGAGACAGAGAATCTCAAGCAGGTTCCACACTGTCAGCACAGAGCCCAATGGAGGGCTCAAATTCATGAACAGTGAGATCATGACCTGAACTGAATACGAGTCAGACGCTTAACCAAAGGAGCCACACAGGCACCCCAATGTCTATGTACTTATAATTGTTTACTATAGTTCATATTTATCTTATAATTATCTTTTTTTTTTTTTTCCTGCTTTACAACTAGGTTTATAACTCCTTGAGGTCTATGCCTCAATTATCTCATTCTTAATTATCACATTCTGGTATCAATGAACATGGCTACAAAAACATCCTTGATAACCTGGATCCCAGCCTCTGACATATGAAAAAAGATGTTCTTAAACTTTTATTTGAAGAACAATAAAATAATCGTTCCACTTTAATATTCATAAATGGACAATCCTTTTATCACAGATCAGTGTTTTCTCAAAATGTAGTCTTCAAAATACTAGAAATATTATCTGGTATATTTAATACAGACCAAGTTCAACATAAAAGGCTCTTTTTTTTTTCCCCTCCCAGCATGGGGCTTCATTGCTAAGAAGGTTTTTTCTCTGAGCAGGTGTTTCCATGTGTCAGGCTGCAGGAAGTCATTTAAAACCAAGGCACACCAGGGTAGTTTCCGTGGATGCAGAAATTAACCCCTGACAAGCCCATACCTGTTTCACATCTGGTACACCTTCCATCAGAGAGAACAATTCAGGGAAATTACTCTTCTAAAAAACAAATAAAATTAAGAGCAGTTTTCTTAGTAGTCATCTTCTGTATTATTGTGAATGTTCTGTTGTGACAGAACTACATTTTGTAATAATGTTAAAGTAAACAGCCACATCTAATTAACTTTTTTTCCAAATCCTATTTTACCTTTTAGGGGACTATACCATAATACTGTTATTTTATTTTTATTTAAAACCTTTATTTTTTTAATTTTTAAAAATTTATTTCTGAGAGAGAGAGACAGAGTTGAGCAGGGGAGGGTCAGAGAAAGAGGGAGACACAGAATCTGAAACAGGCTCCAGGCTCTGAGCTAGCTGTCAGCACAGAGCCTGACATGGGGCTTGATCCCACAAATCGTGAGATCATGACCTGAGCTGAAGTCAGATGTTTAACCGACTGAGCCACCCAGGCACCCCTTAAACCTTTTTATTTGAGAGAGACAGACAGACAGACAGACAGAGAGAGAGAGAGAGACAGAGGGATTGAGAGAGAGAAAGTATCAAGCATGCTCCACACTCAGCATGGAGTCAAAATCGGGGCTCAATTCTATGACCTTGAGATCATGACCTGAGTCATGGAGTCAACAGTTGGGTGCTCAACTGACTGAGCCATCCAGAAGCTCCTAAACTTTGTTATTTTTAGAATGATACTTAAGAACCATATCTATGCCGCCCACTTACTGCTTTTTCTTCCCAGGTTTCTTCTATACTTGTGCATAGTATCAGAAAAGATTTCAATGACTTGGAAAAATATTTCAATGACTTGGGCTGGTGAAAAATACTTCTTCATCATTTCCGGTGCAACCATGGAAGTTGGAGTCTTGAGAGAAAAAGGATTTAAAAGTGTCTCCATTGGTTTCATTTCATTCGATGCCTAAGGTGTGGGAATACTAAAGGCAACCACAAATTTTCTCACCTGAAATTTTTCCTTTCTCTCCTCTGGAGCTGACCAGTGATCCAACATTTTAAAAACTCTTATCAAATGAAGAGTTAAACTTTGGTAGAGGACATGATTGTATGTAAGTATATTCTACATATGTGTGTGTGTGTATATACTTACATGCACGTGTGATTCTAACATTACATTAAAGTATATTCTACAGCTATATGTGTCAAAACATCTATGTTATATATAATTTTCATTTGTTATGATTGTTTATTAACTATAAAAGCAGTTGATAAAATAAATATGATGGGAATTTTCTATCTAGAAGGGAAAAATAGATTTGCTCATACCCTCCTGCTATAGTTATTCCCCATACAAAAAATACACAAAGTTTTCCTGTACTTATCAACATTTCATCTTCTCTCCATTGAGAAAACCTTTTACATTAATTAAAGTTCACATTGGCATAGTTGTTTTCAATATACTGAATGAACTCCATGGAAAAATCAGTGGACACTGAAATTATTTTAATGGCTAAGTTTTTCTCAATGCAAGATTGTACTATCTTTGACTCAGAAATCGCCTTCTGTGGGATCTAGGAGTTTATATTTTTTCAAGTTTAGAGATTAGAAACATGAACATTTATTGCAGTTAAAAATCTAAGAATTTCAAAGAGGCTATTTCTGAAAGCTGGCTAAAAAATGACCTCATTCTCCTTCAAGTTTATTGTCAACACAGTGCTTGCTGACACTCCAAGATACATGATGTGGTTCAATTCTTTCTGCACAGGTTTCAGGGGCATGTTTCTCAATAAAGAATTGTGCTTGAATGGCTGATTTTATTTGTTTCCAAAAGATTGCCCCTTTTATAATTCATCCAACTAGGATAACACTGCTATAAACATTGCAAAATATTTATAATTTGGAATAGTAAATATCACTTTCTGTGCTTTGATAGCTTAGAAGGAGCCAAAAATTTTAAGCTCTTGAAAGAGATAGATGGGAATCTATTAGGTAAAAATTCTATGTTTTAATTCCCTGAATTGTCAGTTTGTAGGTTATTATTTTACCCGTTAAGCCATGCTGTGTAGAATAGTTTTAATATATGTAAGGATGACTACCAATAAGAGATAAGTACAAAAATTGAGACTAAGCATTTAGAGTATTTTACAGAAATTTGACAGACTAATTACATGTCTAATAGATCTAATAATTTAACATTTGGATTTGTACTTTGTAATCGTCTTTTTGTTTTCTTTCAATTTTTTATAGTAATTCACTTTTCATTGTATTTTACCGAAGTTTAAGTTTGGAAAAATTGACTCTTCACCACAGATAGTTCAAGAAGCACTGAATTACAGAACAGTGATTTTCAAAAAAGAATTTTAATATTATTCAAAGCTTCATTTCTGAAAATGTTAAATGTGGAGCTGCTCTGGATAAAGTGTAGATGGAGAAAAAATACTGCTCCTCTTTTCCCACTGAGCCAGAAACAGGAGGCTACACGGGACAGGGAATTAACATCAAGAGCAAAAAACATCAGGGTATCTGGGTGGGCCAGTCGGTTAAGTGTCCAACTCTTGATTTTGCCTCAGGTCATGATTTCAGGGTGTGTGAGTTTGAGCCCCGTGTCAGGCTATGGGCTGGCAATGTGGGTCTCTCTTGGGATTCTCTCTCTCTCCCATTCACTTGCCCTCCCCTATGCATGTTCTCTTTCTCTCTCTCTCTCTCACTATTAATAAATAAATTTAAAACTTTAAAAAAAATCTTAAAAAAGAACAAAAAGCATCAAACAAAATGAAGTGTGAGAAAAGTTTTAAAATTGTAGTTATGGTAAATGACACTTCATGATTATAGACATTTAAAATTTAAATGTAATTTACAATTTAGATTATTATCTATCTGGCATAGTGGGAAATCTATACACGCAAGAGAGGTGCCTGAGATACAATAAAGAAATTGTTGAAGTCTTTTGACATATAGACTGTAGTCAGTAATAATAAAAAAAAGGACTAACAAAAACATTGTGGAAATTCATTAACACTGAAACACAATCAGAAAAATATTTCCCCACACCTTTCTCATTAAGATGTTGGTTTGATGTGCAAAATTGGCTGGGTTTCAGTCTCCAGTATTTCAAGCACTTATATAGGTGTTAGTACTGTGTATGAATTTTGAAGATGTTATTGAAGTCCATAATCAGTTGAGTTTCAATATGGGAAATTATCCTTGACCATCTGAATAGGCCTAGTTCAATCTTTTGAAAAGCTTTAAGATCAGGACTGAGACTTATCTGAAGAAAAAGATAGTCCACCTAAGGAAAATAACACCATCTTGTTCCAGCCTACCCTTCCTGACAACCTGCTCTATAGATTTCATCGTGACCGGTAAGAGCCCATAGGGTGAGCCAATTCCTTGTAATGAGTCTCTTGATATGATATTGACAGATATATATCTTATTCATCTTACTCATTCTGTTTCTCTGATTGTGTCCCAAATGAAACATTCATTAAAAATGCCTATTTCTATTTAGGACATTCAAAATTGTGAAATTGTGATCCTTACCAAGAAATATGTTTGGTCTTTATCCACTGTTCTGGCAAAAAGTGTTTAAAACCCTTAGAATTTCCTACATTATGAGAGTAACAAAAGTGCCTTATGTTATGTTAATAAGATGACTTTTGGACAGTGCCTAAGGATGGAGGCTGGTTGCCAGAAAGAACCATGTGACAAGAGGGTGGGAACTTTTAGTCCCACCTCCTTGGGTGGGACTAAGGGGAGAGGAAAGAGGCTGCAGATTGAGTTCAATCACTAATAGTCAATGATTTAATCAATCATGTCTATGTAATGAAGCCTCCATAAAAATACAAAAGGACAAGTCTGTGAACACCTGGAGATTTGGGAAGAGTGATGAAGTAGGAAAAGACATGGGAGTTCCATACTCTTTCCCTATGCATTGCTCTCTGCATCTGTTTAAAAAGAGAGAGACAGACAGACAGAGAGACAGAGAGAGACAGAGAGAGAGAGTGTGTGGGATCCAAATGGAGTCACTTATGTTAAGGCCCCACATCAACAAACCAAGACTTACTACCTAACCTAAGTGCAGGTTCAAATCCCTAGAAATGTAACCTTTAACCAGATGATATGAAATTTCCTGGTCATAACTAGGAAAGTTGCTGATAGATCTCCTGAGGAGGGAAACCTTGCCTAAAATAATATATTCTTTGCTAATAATTTCCTTTTTTCATGTCTGTCTCTGCATTTAAAAATATTTCCTTTTCTACAGCATGTCAGAGCTCCTTTCTATTTGCTAGATGGGATGCTGCCTGATTCAAGAATTATTCAATAAAGCTAATTTGGTCTTTTAAATTAGTTGAATTTTTGTTGTTTAACACATCTCCTCCATCTGGCTGTTCCTGTTATACCCTTTTATAATTAACCAGTCATCTAGTAAGTAAAATATTTCTCTGAGCTTTATGAGCTGTTTTAGCTAATCAGTCAAACCCAAGGAGGATGTCACTGGAACCTCTGATCTATAGCCTACAGCCAGTTGATCAGAAGCACAGATGACAACCTGAACTTTCATCTGAATGGGGGAGGGTTGTCTTATAGGACTGAACTCTTAATCTGGGGGATCTGATGCTATCTCCAAGAACATAGTTTCAGAATTGAGTTGAATTGTAGGATACCTAGCTGAAGTCACAGAGAATTGCTTGGTGTGAGAATCCCTTCACTCAACTGGAATTTGGTACAGAATTATAGTTGGTGACCAGAATCTTAACATCTATTCCAGAAACTTTCAACCTAATGAATAGCACTATTACCAACTTCATACAAATGTTTAATAATTATAACCAAAGAATGATGGAACATGCTACCATTAAATATTGGCATAAGGATTATTTTGAGCTAAAGACATTTGAGAAGAAGTAAATACATGAAAGGCTCTCTGCCTATTGTCTAAAGGTAGTGCACAAATTTAAAAAGGTGTCCCTCCTCCCCACTTTACCAGGAAGGACAAAAATTAATCACTAGAGACAACTTAAGACCCTTATCGATTGACAAGGCACTGACTTAAATCTGCATAACCAACCTATTGTATACTGTACTTTTTTGGGTCACCTCCCCAAAACTAGCCTCCCTGACACCTTTCTTTCTTTTATTTTTAGCTGAAGATGGAATATACTCCTGAATTCTAAGTCACCGTGGAGAGATTTTACTCACTTTTCCATGGGTATCTCCCATGTATGTATGAGGCATACACATGTTAATAAGCTCCTGGTGATATTTCTCTTGTTACTCTGTCTTTTGTTACAGAGGTTCTAGCAGGAAACTCAGAATGGCAGATGGAAAATTATTTTCCTTTTCTTTTTTAAATGTTGTTCTTTTTTTTTTTTTTTTTTTTTTTTTTTTTCCCTGAGTGAGGAAGAGAGACAGCAGGGGAGGGTCAGAGAGAGAAGGAGATACAGAATATGAAACAGGCTCCAGGCTCTGAGCTGGTGGTCAGCACAGAGCCCGACACAGGGCTTGAACCCACGAACTGTGAGATCATGACCTGAGCTGAAGTCGGATGCTTAACCAACTGAGCCATCCAGGTGCCCCTATTTTTCTTTTTCTATAGAGCTAAACAGAATTAACTTGTTGTCTTCTGATTTTACCTATTCAGTAATATCATTTATAGCATGTGTCCCCAATACTGTAGGACCAAGGAAGCATGTTTGTTGAATACCATCTAAGAAAAATGTGCTATTTTTCAGAATAATTGCATCTATGAATATAGGATTGATTTAAAACTATACATTGTCTGTAAATTTCATAAAATTTAAAATATCACTGGCCTTCTTAGAGAGTTTTATTTTACTATATTATTGACATTTTAGGGGGAAAAAACACCAAGGATTGTAAGCAATGAACTCTCTCATTTTTTTTAAGTCTATGTACTTATTTTGAGGGAGAAAGCATAGAGAGAATCCCAGGCAAACTCACCCTCAACTTGGAACTCAAATGGGGAGATGCTTGAAGCGGGGTTCAATCCCACCATCATGAGATCATGATCTAGGCCACATGAGCTGATGTCAGGAGCTAGATGCTTAATCAACTGAGCCACCCAGGTACCTACAACTCTCTTATTAAGACCTAAGAACCTCGTGCTCTTCATTACCATCATTGAACTAGCGCAGTGTTTAGGTTAAATCTAATTTCAGCTGTAAAACAAATAAAGTTCCTCCAGGTTATTTCTGAGCCATTGAAGATAGCTGCATTTCTCAAAAAATAAATAAATTAATTAAATATTTATTAGAGCATGAGAAAATAGTGCTCTA